AGACGTGAACTGCAGGCTGCCACTGCATTTTCTTTCTTTTTTAAAGATTTTTTAATTTATTTATTTGACAGAGAGAGACACAGCAAGAGAGGGAACACAAGCAAGGGGGAGCAGGAGAGGGAGAAGCAGGCCTCCTGCCGAGTAGGGAGCCCCATGCAGGGCTCGATCCCAGGACCCCGGGACCATGACCCGAGCTGAAGGCAGACGCCTAAAGACTGAGCCACCCAGGCGCCCCTGCACTGCATTTTCTAACATGTTTGCTAGAACCCAAGTTATAGTAGTACGCCCCTTGACTCACACAGCTGAAAATAACCACTAACATGTGCTAACGTGTGTGTGTTCTGCCCTCCACGACCATCTGGAAGCCCCCAATTCTTCCCTAGCACCGGATGCTTTGCTGTCGGGTACCAGCTCACCGCCAGGCCCAGCGAAGGAGATCTGCCGTAACCACGGGGTTTTTCTAAAACAAAACCAAAACACTACCTGTGCCATGCAATTATCAGCACTGGAAGATTATTTTTACCACATCCTTCCACTTTTGTGGAAGTCACTAAATGTTATCTGTGAGGCAGTCACGGGGCTGGGACACTCAGACCCCCCTCAAAGGAGAACCTGCCACACGGTGGCAATGCGCCCTCCATGCACAGCCGGGCCAGAGGCCCCCTGGCTGAGACCTTCTCCGAGCTGCATGAGAGGTCCTCCCTCCCCAGCTCTCCACCACCGCTACCTCCTCTCCCCTCATCAGACCAACACGGTGAGGGCCCCCAGCGCCCCGCCCCTGAGCCGCTTGGCCTCCTCCTGCCCCTCTCTTTTGGGCACCTGCTTCCTACGTCACCCAAACTGATGCACTCTCCATGTAAGGATTGACTTCTGGCCCATTTTGGCAAAAATCGCTGCTATTAAGCCTTACTTTGCAAGGTGTACCAGTGGACGGACTTCTCTCTGAACATGAGGGTTATGTGTATCTTCCTAATAAAAGGCACATTCATTGAATGGCTCCAGTTAGACTTGGACAGTGGTCTCCACTAGAAACCAGTGCTTGGAATGCTGGACCAACCACCGGTGCACCCCTTACACTTGTCCCCAGGACAGCCCTTCACCTCGCTCCCACCAAGGGCACAAGGCAGCCGAGCACACACGAATTTGCATAACCTGACTTTTTCCCCAATGCAACATCATATCTAGCACGTATCTGTTTCCACCATCTCAGATGGGGATTTCTGATCCCCAGTCCACCAGGTGTAGCCTTCTGGAAGTAAAAAGTTTTTAAATGACTACTTGCGCGAAGCCAACCACTTAGTTTCAAAAATGTAGATTTTTCATGACTAAGTTTTCTGAGTATCAAGGTGCTCTGGATTCGAGAAGACCTTTGAAGTCTAGATTCATCACTTGCTAGCTGAGCAACCCCCACCAAGCCCTCCCTGCTCGGTTTCTCCATCCGTGTAATGGGGCGAAGCCACTGTCCTCACAGGGATTTTCCACGAATCAGACAACATAATCTGCACATGGAACACCTCACAGAGCCCTCACCGTTGTAGCTGTTGTCACAGGACAACATGTAAAGCCTCAGTGAGGAGGCAGGGGACACTTTTAACATCGGCACATGCTTCTAAAGTCTCCAGGTCAGCCAACGACGTGATGAAGAGAGCCTAGCTCCCCCACCAGGTTCCCACCATAGGGGATACAATTCGCCGCTGAGTGACACATCTGGCTGAAGGTACTTCCTTGTAGCACACAGCTTTTTACTACTGCTCGTGGCAGAATTCATTACCGTTTTTCTTTATTACTGATTTCACTCCCCACCCACTTTCAGAAAGGAATCAAGAAGATCCACATTAATAATGCATGGCCTCCCCGAGTCGCCTGGGGACAGGCCTCCAGGCCACTGGCACGCTGCTCCTACCACGTGCCCAGCCTCGGTTCTGAGTCGTATGGAAGAATGTCGCCTGTCACATATCGATCTGCTAGCACCAGCACTGAAGGATGCACACCCTACCTGTGACCCTTCCAGCTATGCTCGGGAAGGGACAGCGATCAAACCACAGCATCCGCATCTGGACACGTCTGCATCTGCAGTGAGGGCGGGGGCCGGCCTCCCCCCAGCCCGCCCGCCGCCTCCCAAATCGTCGCAGAGATGCCCTCCCAAGATCACCACCTCTCACACTTCGCTCCGCAAAGATAATCCAAACATGGCAAATTCTTCTAATAACTGAAAGGAACCCTGTCCAAGGACGTACCACTCATGTGTTTGCCTAAAACGCAGCATTTTGAAATTAGTAATTTGCGATGAATGTTAAGATTATTACGAAGTAGTTTTAGGAAGGGCAATTAAGTCACAACACTTTCCCTTACAACTTGAAACAACTCATTTAAAGCCTCAAATATTCTTTGGTTAACCAAAAGTCAAATCCATGAAATTTCTGAGTAATTGCTTTATAAAATTCAGTCTGACCTTACTGAGTAACTAAAGATCTTACTATACAAATCACTTAAAAGGAAACAGACAAATGTAGCCACTCAGGTCCTTTGCTCTATAAATATCAATCAGCCACAACTTCTACCAGTAAACTCTTCGAGTTCTGACAAGGCCAGGGAGAGAAGAAAGGGCTGGAGACGGAAGCTACTGCTTTTGTCAGATGTGACAGGGGCCGCTGCTAACAGTGAGGGGCACCTGGTCCACACCGTAAGCATGCCCTCCCCTGTCTCCCATGTTAAGTCAGGCTGAAAGTCACCAGAAGGTGTGCATTTCAGGGGTAAAATGTGATTGGACAAGTTAACCAGATCCTTCCCCTCCAAAAAAAACCCAGTGAATCTGGCTCTTCTCAACACAACTTCTGTTTTTTATTTTCCCTGTTTACAAGGATTTCAATATTTCCCTCCTACCTCTGATTTGACCCCAGATGAAAATCTATGGACTTTTAGCAGATGGTGGGGTCTCAGAAGATGGGAGTCCGTGGATCTTAGTTTAAACCTGGTCACGCTGATCTGTGACCTAACCTTCGGCAGGTAGCCAGACCTCTGTTCTCGCAGACCACTCTCTTCCAAGGTTGAGGTGTGATCAGAGAGAACACAGGCCACGGGCTACGTATCGGGGTGAACTCAGTGGGAAGCAGGAGTAAAAATGGACAGCCCAGATCACCTTGGTGGATACGCTTTTTCTACCTTTCAAAATAAAACATCTGCTTTGTTTGCTTCCCCAGTGCCGGCCCACAGACCTGCGCTCGGGCCAGGAAGCACTCATGCAGGCGCTGAGCCTGCCACGTGGGCCAGCCCAGGGCCGAGGGCACCCTCCCTGGAGGCAGTTGAAATATCCCTCCTGCACCTTCCCTGACCATCCTACAACCCTGCCTCTCACCCTGCTCTCACACACGCCTCAGTTTATTGTTAAGACACAGATCTCTTGGTAGAGATTCTCCAGGTGGGGCCCCACACGGGTGGCACGAACAGCAAACTCCGGCCACGCATGGCCACTATGCATACACATGACATTTGGCTCGAGACATTAAGGCGACTGTACCTTCCAGGGCCAAGAAGGGGGCTCTTCCCACCCTGTCAATCCCATGTAGTCTCTCTTTTAAACAATGTAATCATGGAGATCCCTAAGGGTGACCAAGAAATGGATACAGAAGTGAGCCATAACAGGCTAATTCTAAAACTTTGAGGGGGATGGGGGGGTGCATAGTCATGATGATCTAGAATAGGAAGAGGGGGCAGCAAGGAAGTGATCAAATTAGGGAATGTTCAGAATCTGACTGAGACTCCCTATGAAGCTTTTCAACAGAGAAACGTGGACTAGCAACCCATAAGTGAGTATCATCAGCCTGCAGAGCTGTAACCTAGAGCACGGGGTGGGGGGGGGGGCTCTGGGTGTAGCCCCCCACACCGGGCCCCAGCAGCACCAGCACACCAGTGGTGCACCTGGGCTCCCTGGGATGGCTGTCACTTCTCTGATGGGCGCTGCTTCCCATCCCAGACTCCGAAGGCCAGCGGTCCTCATTTACCTTCTATTGAGATCATGTTTCCTACAAAAAGGAACCTACCTGTTCAAGTATTCCCTTAGACAAGACTGTTAACATTGTGCTAAAAAAAAAAAAAAAAAAGGCCCAGGAAGCCATTTATAAAAACATTTTCCCCACCACACCAAACTTCTCTCAAAATAAAAAAAAAAAAAAAAAAAAAAAAAAACCACAACTGCACAATTTTTCAAGGTAGCTGTAACTGCTAAAAATCCTTTCCAGGGTCCTGGGGCTGGCCCTGGGGGTGAAGGTGGCTCCGGCCCCAGACAGCTCTTGGATCACTGACTGACCCCATCACTTGACTGGAACGGTGGAAATTCACAGTCGGCCTTGGTCCAAATGCCAAAGTCAAATCTGAAAACTCAGCACACGCCACCCCCTTTGCAGCCCCACCTGCAGCCCTCCCTCGGATTGAGCAAAAAGTGAAACTAAGCCTGGATCATGGCCTGCAGGGGTCAGGGGCGCCGCGCGGGGTCTCAGGTTCCCAGAGCCCCCGAGCCAGGCAGGGGGCCCTCGCATCCGCAGGGGGAGCAGAGCGGGCCGAGCAGAGTCCGCGGGGAGAGAGGAAGGGGGGTCACGTCCTCCCTCAGCCCCGGCCACCAGGCCCCTCCCGGGGCGACCCTCCCCAGGCGGCTCCCCCCACCCGCCCCCTCCCCTGGAGGCTGCAGCGGCCTGAGAGGGGCAGACAGGGAGGTGTCCTGGGCCTCCGCCGGACAAGGAACCGGGGGGGCCAGGGGTGCGGGGACGACCCGGGCCCATGAACCACCCCCAGCGCCCCCCCCCCACCCCGTCCTCCCGCAGGCCCCACGCCGGGCGGAGCGCAGCCGGCCCACTGTGGCGCGGGGCCAGCGGGCCCGGGGCCGACTTCGGGCGGGGGCCGACCTCGGGCGGAGGAGCGACCTGGGGCGGCGGGGGGCGGGGGGAGGGGAGCGACCTCGGGCGGCGGGAGGAGGGCCCGACCTCGGTGGGGGCCGCGCCGCTCACCTGCAGCCGCCGCCACCTGCTCGTCGCGCGCGCGGCCTCGGCGTCGCCTCCACGGCCACTCCGGCCGCTGCGCTCCGGCCCTGGGCGCGCCCGGCCCTGCGTCGGGCCTCAGCGAGTGCGGCGCCCGCCGCCCCCGGCCCCCATCCCGCCCCGCCCGGCCCGCCGCCCTCCGCCCTCGGCCGCGCCGCCCCGCCACTTCCTGTGCGCGGCGATCCCACAGTTCCGCCGGCGCGCGAGGAGGGGGGGACACGCGGGGACACGGGGGGGGGGTGGGGGGGGGGGCCCGCGGGGGGGGGGGGCCGGGGGACACACGTGGGGGACGGGGGACACGTGGGGAGGGACGCGGGACAGCGGGGTTCCTCGCGGGGGGGGGGGGGGGGGGACGGGGGGGGCGGAATGCAGGCGGGGAAGGGGCCCTGGCAGAGGTCGGGAAAGGGACGCGCGTGAATCCGGGGCGGGGACCAGAGCCGGCGGGGCACGTGGGTTGGGGGACCAGCCAGGCCGGTCAGGAGGCGGGACTGACGCAGGGAGGGGACCGGGTGGGGGCGCAGTATGTGGGGGAGCGGGGAGACAGCACCGCGGGTCAGGCGACCCCGCGAACCCCCCCATTTCCCTGGGGTCCCCTCACCCCCGCGGGCACCGGCTTGTTTCCGGGCGTGAGCTCCTCCCCTAGCCCAGGTCACGGCCAAGGGGGGTTACCGCCGCGGCGGGGGGGCGGGGGGGTGGATCCCGCGCGTCACCGTGGGGACGGTCTTGGGAGCCTTGGCTCCGCGGGAGGATAGATTTCAGACCCACGTGCAGCGCCCTTTGACTTATTTATAGTTGGCACCAGGCCGGCAACGTTGTATCAATTTGATCCTGGAGGAAGCTTCCCGGAACTGGGGCGGGGGGGGGGGGGTCGGTCGCCTGGATCGGGCCTCGCTAGTGTACCCCGCTGCTCCCAGGTCACTGACCGCTCTCCCCTCTTGCCTGAAGAGCGCCCGAGCTGGACAGGGTTGCCTGAGTTCCCCACGGAGCACCTGGGGGCGGCCAGCCTGGACAGCCCCAGGGAGTGCAGCCAGGAGGAGGGTCCTCTCCATTCTGCTTTCTCCACTGGGTACCTCGCCTGACTCGCCGCCTGTTCAGGTCCTCAGGTCAAGCTGGACCTCCTGAACTTGGACTGGTTTCACTGGAAAACTATTTAAAACACCAGGCGCTGTTGCAGTCTGCTGTGTCTTATTTTAAACCTCCTCCCATTATTTCAGAAAACACTTGGACTAAAATAAAATAAAATACACATACATGCACCTGTTCTACTCACAACTCCCTTATGCTTGAAAACGGAGTTATGGCTTGCAGTGTTGGTGGAAATGTATTACTCGTAAAACCCTGGAGACTGCAGTCCCTCTTCTGTCTTGTCCTAGAGGTAAATTCCCACAGGCGCCTGCAGATGTGCATAGAAGGATGTTCTGACTTACAGCATATAATTAACAAAAATCTGAAAACAACCCATAGACACCTGGTTCCATAAACTCCAGCATATTCGTTGAATAATATTTTTAATTTAGAACATTAAAAAATTAATGTGGTTCTACATATGCTGATATTCTATAATCTCCAAGATCTGTTAAATTAAAAAAGACAGAGAGTGAAGATGCAGGGCAATGTGTATACAAGGATCTCTTTCCCATATTGAGAAGCAGTATACCCATCTATACACCCAGAAAACTTCTGGAAGGATCAATGTGAGACTGTTATTGGCTGGACAGGGGTAAGGCAACTTTATTGTTACTAGGTAGTAATGTTTAAATTTATTGTATGCACACATTTTATAAATACTTCTAAAAAACGAATTAAATGTACCTCATCGTTTAGACACTTAATGGCCACTTAATAGTTACTTCGAACTTTTAGATCAGCTCAAAATACTGTATTTGTCTCAACAGAGTAAAGCATCATCAATGTCATCTAATCTATATTCAGATAGAATCTATGATCATTCAGACCTAAGCTAGTAGGAATTTGCATCTAGAAAAGCTCAACTGAACGTATACGCAGAGTAAACATTTAAACTTGGAAGTGAGCCAACCAGCCCTTAACTACTTACTGGGCCCTGGGCAGAGCACGAGCTCAGATGGACGGGAAACGTGGTCCTCACTCAGATTTACTGAGTTTATTATCTATGTGCATTATTTCACCTACTTATCAAAACCCAGCCCTGAGGTGCACGCTACTGGCAGCTGTTTTACCTTTGGAGAGACTGAGGCCCAGGGAGGCCAGGGTCTCAGCCGCCTGTGCACAGCAGAGCCGTAGCCTGGCTCCAGACCCTGACTCAGCCGCTGTGCGGGGCTCCAGGTGGTCCCAGCAATGATGGTTTCTGCATTGGGAGAGGGACTTAGGTCCCCAGCTGCCTAACTTAAAATGAGGAAAGGACAAGTCTTACCCAGGGTGTTAGTTGGCACACATGTGCAGACAGAGGGGCTTTGTGCATGACTAAGAAGCAGGGCAGGGTTATTTGAGTGCCCTCCACGAGGGGGATGAGGGGGAGGTAGGTCCTGGGAGAGGACTCCCCATTCATTATTTGCTCTAAATCTCTGACCCAACTAGCTTGATCCCATTTCACAGGTAAGTAAACCAGAGCCCAGGAGGTGGTCCTAAGATCAAAGGGCAGACAGCTGCCTGCCTCCAAGCCTAGAAGCAGTCTTTCCCATTTGGAGAGCCTCTCTCATTGGAGAACTTCCCCAGTTGAGCCCTGCCCAAGGCCACTCAAGGGCACGGGTGGCAGTGTGGGCTCCAGGTGGGTCCGGGCTGAGGAGGGCTTCCCGGAGCAGCTGAACACGGACGGATGTCACCTTGTCGTCACTCCGGGGAACTGAGAGACAAGGCTGGGAGCTTAGCCTGTGACCTTGGTCAAGGACATGACCCATTTGGGTCTTTGTTCCCTTTCCTATAAAGCAAGGAGGTTCCCACCCCAGACTTCCCTGATCCCCAAGAATTTGCCAAGAGAGCTATGGCTGTGGGGCTGACTCAGACATTTCTAGAAGTCTAAAGTGCATATTTACCCAAGATACCGAAACTAAAGATAGTAACTTTCCTAGAAATTGGTTAACTCCAGCACGTTAGCCCCTAGCCTCAAATGGATAGATGCTATATGTTTTTAATTCATACATAGCAGGAAAAGCAATGGTTACAAATGTAAGTTTTTCAGGAGACAAATTACTACTAGTAGTGGTAGTAGTATTTTAGGTAGGCTTCATGCTGGGTGTGGAGCCCAACACAGGGCTTAAACTCACGACCCCGAGATCAAGACCTGAGTTGAAATCAGGAGTCAGAGGCTTAACCAACGGAGCCACCCAGGAGCCCCAGAGGAGACAAATTATTTTAAAAATGGGCTTCTCTAGGGGCAAAAACCCTAGAAGGGATTTTTCATGGCAGAGAGACTGGGAACCCCCAGGACACACTACGACCCCGCCCCGAGGTGGCTGTTGAGAAACGAAGTTCAGCCTGAAGGTCCCGAGTCACACGAGATGTCAAGTGTCAGTGGAGAATATTAAGTGGAGGCCCGCCCTGGGGGGATGCCTGGGGGGAGCAGCCTGGAGGTCAAAGTCAAGGTCACAGGAGTGGGTGAAGCCAGTGCCCTGCGGAGGACAGACCTCGGGCAAATGTGCAGCACGTGGGGAGGCCCTCAGCGCAGGGATAAAGCCCCGGGTTTGAATCTGGGCTCATTATAGCTATGAAAGTGGGTGCCCCACTCTGCCAGGCGGGGAGAGAGGTAATTTCCGGATGCAGCCACCGAGCTGTGGGGATTGAGGACCTGTGAGCTGAGCGCAGGGCCTGTTCTGACGAGAGCCGCACGGCTGATAGCCGTGGACTGTCCTCAGCATCCCTTAGTGAGTCCCCAGGTAGAGTCAGGGGTGCAGAGAGGGAGGGCAGCTGGGCCGGAGGGCGAGCAGAAGCCAGCTGTGAGGCCCCCCTCCCTGCACAGCCCAGCGCTTGGGAGCCAGTGGGGTACTGCAGTGCGTCAGCTCAGGGCCTGGCGCCCCCAACAGGCCATCTGGGCTCTGAGGCTTGGGCAGCTGCGTGGAGGTCTGAGGCTCTGTCCGCCCAGTCCTGCCCCCTTTTAGCTTTTGCAGGCAATACCACGCCCTCAAGCCCCTTGTGCCCTAAACCCCACTGCATGCACTCTGCCTGGAGGCCCTACCTGACACAGACGGCCCTGCGCAGCAGAAATGCTGCCCGACCACGGAGCTCCCCGGGGGCTGCCGCCAACTCTGCAGGCCAGGTGGGCATTTTGTGCGCATGCAGATCCTGACCTGAAGGCCCCCAGGTCTCTAAATCGGTAACGTGACCCAGGCTCCTTGTAAAGGCAGTGGCCACTGCCCTGGGCTGGCTCTGTCCACAGGGCAGGCAGGCAGGGGACATGCAGTCGGCGTGATGGCGCCACCAGGCTCTCCTCCCTCCCCCTCCCACCCAGACACACAAAAACTGTCATTTTTTTCTTTGCACCAAATCAGCTTTCAGATTGTTCTCTGGCGTTCAAAAAAACCAAAAAATATGCTATTTCTACACGTTCACCTGTTGCGATGCAGCATTTCTGATGCACGCGGAGAGCCCGAACCCAGCTCACAGGCCTACCGCGTGAGAGGTAGGAAAGGGAGCCAGTCAGCGCTGTTGTCGGGGGGCTCCAGAAATACTTCCAGAAGAAACAACCCAGTGTGTTAGTATGAAGGGGAGGAGAACCTCCAGAGTTCTGGGGATTATTACCTGCGCAGATGATAACATGTTGTGATGAGGAATAAAATACTCTAAAAACCCCAATACTCGGAATAATGGAAGAGGAGTTGTTTCTGGAAAAAGAGGCGTGGAGAAGTGCCCCCGGACGGCACTTTGCTGGCCCCCGGGAAGGACCTGGCCCACACACCAGTGGGGGCATTAAAAGCAAGCTCACCATCACTTCCTGGGAACATGCAGAGGAGGAGGGACATGAGGGTCACGTCTAGACACGCAAAAGAAGCACATCTTTTCGCCGGGGGACGGGCTGTGGATGGGAACGGTGTAGTTTCAAAGTGAGTGTGCATGCTCCCGTTTCCTCAAGGCTGGTCAGGGCTTGGGGTGGAGG